AAAATATATTTAAATGGTAATATGTCAACAATATTTTAAATGTTAAATGGTCTAAGTATACCAGTAGAATTTAAATATAACAATTTAGGGCTGAGGAAATAAAATTTAATCATGTGAATTCTCTCCTCACAATGGCATCAAACCAGAATCCAAACAGGTCATAGGAAAATTATTTAGACATTTCTAAATAACACATGCTCTAAAGGCAGTGCATAGTATAACAGGAGGTCTCAAGAAATTTTAAAAATACAAGAAACAAATTAAAATATATTGAAATTTGTGGGACATAGTGAAAACACTGCTAAAGGAGAAGAGTAACAAATGGACACATTATAGAGAGGGAAAGTCTGAAATTAATAATCTTAAATTTCCATCAGAATATACAATGGCACTTGCTTGTCTAAGCACACACAAAGCCCTAGCTTCCATCCCCAGCACCACCAGAGAATAAAATAAAGCAGAAAAAGAATAAATTAAAGCACACAGAAGAGCGAGCCAAAAATAAAATTAGAAAATAGAGGAAAATCAACAGAATATAGCCAGTTTCTTGAAACGATCAATAAAATTAGCTAGCTCAAGCAAGAGGGAAAAATAAAAAGAAACAAATTACGAATATTAGGAATAAAATGAGTTAGATCACTACCCCTTTGGGCAGCATTAGGAACAATGAAGTATTAAGACAATGAAATAGTCAATTCTGCAAAAACAAAAACTACCAATGCCCAATATTGAGTAAATCACTTAAATGACACCTAACTATGAAAATGATTTTGCAATTTTAATTCTTAAAAAAGTCTCCATACATTATTTCAACAATCATGCCAAATTAATATATACTGATTCTACACATTCCAATACAAGTTCAAGATAGCTCAACAAACAAAAATTAACCATATTTCTATACATCAGTTACAAATATCAGTGAAGTTATAGTGACGCTATTACAAAAATATTAAAGAGTAAGGACCAAATTTTACTGAATAAGACTGTAAAGTGAAACCTATAAAACAATGTTTAAAAAATTAAATACCTAAACAAAACAAAAACACATCAATATCAAATTGCTGGAATAATACTGATGGCAATTTGGCCAGATTCCATGTGATTCCTACCAATACTTTCGGTTTTCTTTTCCATACGAAATGGACAAAGTAGCTGGGCATGGTGGTGCTTACTGATAATCCCAGCAGTTGTGAGGCTGCAGCAGGAGGATTGTGAGCTCAAGGAGAGCCTGAGCTGCACAATGAGATCCTGTCTCAAAAAAACCAATCAAACAAACAAAAAAAAAGTAACTGATTCTAGAAATGTAGATAGAAATAAGAGGGACTCAAAATAGCTATACCAATCTTCAACTAGAAGAACAAAGTTGGGGTATATAAGTCCAATCCTTCTTAGAAAATTACTGAAGTAGGGGCTAGAGAGATAGTGGGGCCGGAAAGATAGCTCAGTAGAATAAGCACTTGCCTGGCAGTGCAAGGGCCTGAGTTCAACACCCAGTTCCGCAAAAAAAAAAAAAAAAAAAAAAGAAAGAAAATTACTGAAGTAAAGACTTTATGTATTGGCATTAGTCTGACGCACAGACCAATGGACTAAAAACAGAGTTTAGACAAACACTCATACACCTTTTTATTTACTTATTTATTCATTTGGTACAGGGTATTACTATGCAGCTCAAACTCATAGTGATCCTCCTTAGCCTCCTGTGAGCCACCACGCCTGGTCTTGGGGCCAGCATGCCATGTGGTACCGGAGATTGAACTCAGGTCCCTGCATTTGCCAGGAGGCACTTAGACCACAGAGCGATGTATGTCCCCAGCCCCAACACTCATACATCTGAATGCAACCCGTTCTCTAAAATGTGCCAAAATGTTCAACAGTCAACGACTATTTTTTTTATTTTTAAAAGAACATGGATTAACTACTCATATATAAAATAACAGTAATAACTCAGCTCATGAACCTTCTGTTTGCAAGCAATTCAGTTCACAAAACCATTTTGCAGAATTTTGCTTCCATTTGCAAACTGCATCAAGTGACAAACATGACCAATGCTGTCTTCCCAACACAAACACAGGCTGGGGATATAGCTCAGTGGCCCAGCACCTGCCTGGCAAGCACAAGGTGATGAGTTCAATTCCTAGTACCAAGAAAACCCCACAAGCAGTAATCATCCTCAAAATCATAAATTAAGTTAATAAACCAAGATACCACCTGTAAATCTAAGTATCACACCAAATAAAAAATTAACTCAGAATACACCAAAATACACAGACGGAAGAATAAAGATTGTAAAACCCGTAAGAGAAAACCTAAGTATAAATCTTCATGGACTTGGAGTAGAAAACTTGGGTTTTTCTGTTTGTTTTTTATGTATTTACTACAGGGTCTACAGGGTCTCACTACATAGGAAGGATTTATATTGATTTTCCTCTTTTCAGCCTCCCAAGCTCTGGGATTACAGGAGCACACCACCACACCCGGTCTCAATGGCTGTGTCAGCGCACCCCAGGGGTGAGGCCAGGGATTGAACCCCAGCTGCTGCACTCTGCCTAAGCAGGGACTTTAGTCAGCTGAGCTACCTGGCCAGCCCAAAAACTTAGGTTTTAAATGTGGCTTAACTTGGTTTTTATTTTTTGGTTCAAACTTGTTTTGAACTCACTATGTAGCTCAGGCTGGCCTCAAACTTGTAGCAATCCTCCTGGCTCAGCCTCCTGAGTACTGGGATTACAGGCATGTGCTACCACACCTGGTTTAGGAAATGGTTTTTAAATATGACACCAAAGATACAAGTGACCAAAGAAAAAACATTGGATGTCACCAAAATTAACATCTTTCCCTGCAAAAGACTCTATGGTAAAAGGATGAAAACCAAGCTACAGGGCTGGGGAGACAGCTTGACGATCTAAGCACCTGCCTGGCAAGCACAAAGACCCAGTTTCAATTCCCAGTACCGCATGCCATGCTGGCCCTGGAACCCCAGATGCACTGTGCCAGTCACCAAAACCGGGCATGGTGTGAGCAGCAGCAGAGCGATTGGCAGATCTCAGAAACTAGACATGCAATCCCAAGCACACACTCACCTGCACCCTGGGCATTCATTCCAGGGCAATAAAACTTTGTTATACTACACTACCCATGCTGTTTATCCCCGTTTTGTTTAGACAAAATCTAAAAACAACCATGACGTCCCTCAATAGGTGAAGGATTAAGCTGACTGTGTCCATATCAGGAAATACTACATAGTAATAAAAAGGAACTACCATTTTATGCACAGCAACCTGAATAAAACTCAGGAGAATAATACTGATTCAGAAGTCAGTCCCAAAAGGTTACCTTCACAACGGAAGGCTGTGACTGCACTACGTAACACTCTTGAAAGGAAAATTACAGAAATGGAAACAGGTTAGTCCTTGCTGGAATTAAGGAGTGGAGAGAGGAAGGCAATGAGTCTGTGACTACAAAGGGCCGCTCTAAGGGAGCGGTGGTGAAGGAAATATGCTGCATTGAGGCCAATTATGGGGACATGCGATACTGCACTGGGATGGGTCAGCACTGAAGGAAATAGGGTGAGGAGGAACTCAGAGCTCCCTGCCTATAACTGAATGTCGTTGACAACTACCCCAAAGTATAATTTTTTTAAAAAGTAATTTTAGTGGGACACAGTAGCACATGCCTCCAATCTCAGCTACTCAGGTGGCTCAGGCAGAAGATTACAAGAAAAAGGGCTAGCTAGATAGCTCAGCAGACTAAAGTTCCTGCCTAGGCAGAGCACAGGGCCTGGGGTTCAATCCCTGGAACACAGCCATGCCGGCACCGCCGCCAAGGTGTGCTGAGATAGCAAATGAGACGGCGTGGTGGCGTGCAGGTGGCGTGCACTTATAATCCCAGTGCGTAGGTGGCTGAAAAGAGGAGAATCACTGAGTCTGATCTATGTGGTGAGATCCTGTACTAAATATATTTAAAAAAAAAAAAAAAAGCAAGAAAAGTCCAACAAACAGTGGAAACAGTGCTTTGAACACACATAGAAAAATGATAATCTGCAAATTTTAATCTTAAAATTTGGTTACCAGGAAATTCTTCATTCTGAAGAAAAAAATTCAACGTATAATTCAGCTCTACCTTAACTAAACCTAAATACAACTGATAAAGTATAACATTGGTAGCTACGATTTTAGCATTCCCAGGCATATACATCCACAGCACCCATGAGAAGATGTTACATGTAACATGGCACATTAGTGAGGCAATATGTATTTTGTAGCACAGATTCCATCTAAAATTGGAATAATTCTATGCCCCTTATAAGGAAAATATTAACATATCCTGAAATTACTAGAAATTTATACAAAGTGCTTTCAGGAGATAAATATAAAAGGAATACAAATTATAAGGGGAAAGAAAATACTAAGCTATTTATACAATAAAAGATTACCACAGGAATATCAGTATATATTCGCTTATGCTACCGTTAAGTTTTACACCATAATCTTTGAAGGATTACATCACTCTCATACAGGTTGCGTACAGCTCTAACTGAAAGGGGCTCATCCATTTTTACTAACAATGCAAAATAATGGCTGAGCACTGATTGAAGCAGTAATACTAGAAAGTCATCAATGGGAACCTACTGTATTTGGCTGCTGATTCACTTTTTTATCTTCTATATCCTTAAATTTTGATCGAAAAGAAACCATTTTCTCTTGCAGTTCAGGTGTACAAAGTTCATACACGTCCAACATAAGGGGAAATTTAACATCCTACAAATGCAACAGAAACAAAGAAGAATGAAGACTTGCACGCTGTTATTTACAGACGCACCCTCTAAGCCACATCTTCGTAACCCAAAGTTGAAAACAAAGTCTGTTAAAATCATGCGGAGGACCATGGTACAGCTGAAAACCTCCTAGGACTTAATTCTCAAGAATAATCTGGTTCTAATTTTTTTTTTTTTTTTTGCTGAACTCAATATTAATGCAGGGCCTTTGCACTGAGCCACATCCCCGAGTTTTTTAAATTTAACTTTGAACCAGGGTCTTGCTAAGTCATTGAATTACCCACATGGGGCTCTTCCAAGTTATGACCCTCCTGCTCAGAGTGAAGAAATTACAGGTATGCACCACCATGGTGAGCTAATTCTAACTCTGAACTTAGCAAATGTTTTCCATTAAATAGTTTAGCCTATAGAACTGACCACAGAAAAGGAACCAAAATTCATGTAAAAGCATCAATTCAGAAACATTAGGCTAGTTCCTATGAAAATAATAGGTCCTCAGAAATGGAATTAACTTAGAAAAATTTTTGCTTGAGACGTAATTTTACACAGAAACAATACTGATATGGTCCAATAACTTCCATTAAGATGTTCTGAAAGCAAGGTACAGTGGTACATTCCTGTAATCCTACTACTTGGAAGGCTGGAACAGAAGGATCACCAAGTTCTAGGTCAGCCTGGGCAATTTAGTGAGACCTGTCTTAAAATACAAAACAAAGAGCTGGAGATGTCTCAATATACCCCTGAGTTCAATACTCAGGATCATTAAAAAAAACACCAAATAAATAAATAAATAAATAAATAAATAAAATAAAATAAAATAAAATATATATATATATACACACATATATATACTAGTATTTAAACTACATTAACTTTCTTGTATAATACTAAGTCTATATTAAAAATACTATGACTTTTAACTCCAAAAGCTAGAATTATGTACCTGTCCCAAGAATCAGGAATTCTGTAGACGCGTAGCAGACCTACAGCTCAACACAAATAGTTAAATCACAAGGCTGGCCCCTAAGTGAGGAACTTTTTTTTTTTTAAGGAATAATTTATTAATATTTTATTTGTTTGTTTGTTTGGCACAGGGTCTCACTACGCAGCTCAGACTCCACAGCTTAGACTCGAAGAGGCCCTCCTGTCTCAGCCTCCCCAGTGCTAGGATTATAGGTGTGCGCCACCACACCTGGTCTTAGGTTGGCAAAACGCACTGGGGGTTCTGGGGCCCACATGGCATGTGGTACTGGGGATGAAACCTGGGTCCTTGTGCTTGCTGGACAGGAGCTTAGATCACTGAGCTATCTCCCCAGCCCGGAATTACAATTTAAATAGTCTCTGGGCATTGCTGATTTAACTTTCGGTTCTCCTAGAAAAAAGGAACCATCTAATGAAGCAGCTCTTGCAATGTGAAAGATGTGGTCTAGGGCAGTATTGTAGGCGTGCTGGGAATCCATCAGAATTACCTGTGAATCTTCTGACAAATATATGGCCCTAGGCTTCACCCAAGAAACTTAATCAGATGCTTAGGGCTAGAGGGAGATGCCAGGAATATGTATAATTAGAAATAAGACACTAAGTAATTCCAATACATATGCTTGGTTTAGAATTATAGTACTTAATAAAGCCTCTATTTCACAGATAGCTTAATTATCTTTAAAAGGAATAAATAAACCTATTATAAGATAGGTATTGCCTTCAAATAATTATATTTTATATACAAACTAAAGCTCATTACTAACCTTAAGAACTTTGGCATTTACTGATTCCTTCTCTTTATAAAAAAATCGAACCATCTGAATAGTTAAGTAAGCAGGTAGCCGGCTGATCTTGGACTAAGGAGAGAAAATGGGAAAAAAATCGTTACATCCAACTACCACACAACTTTTTAATTCCATGATGAATAAAAAAAAATTCTATAATGGGGTAAAAATTAAATAACCAAAAGCCTTTCAATGAAATAGTATTCAATTTCAAAAGGAAATGTACAACTTACAGATTTGATGTACAAAGCATTTCTTTGCAACGTTGGAGACTGTTTGGTAATTTCTTCTTGAAGTCGCTAAAAAAGTACATTACAGACAATCAAATATTAAGATTTTTCTCTGTAGCATGTTCTAATTCTTTTTAACAAAGTAGCACTACTCATAGACAACACGATAAATAATCCAAATGAAGCCAGTATGGAAGGTTTTTAGATAATGTTCAATTCTTAAAAGATATCAAATATTTTATAATTCTGTGAACTTTTTTTGTACCAGGAATTGAACTCAGGGCTTCATGCAAATGCCCCACTGAACTACATCCCTGGCCCACTGTTGTGTACTCTATAGTAAAAAAATGTTTCAGGTGTTCAGCTATGACCCAGATGTTGCTCAGACTCAGAAAATATTTTAGATAACATAACAAAACCCCTGTCATTCCATTATAGATTATCAGAATATGTAAAGAGAATGCAGAAAACTCTTGTTCTTCATGCTTCATGTACAAAAGGCTTCTAGCATCAATCAGATATTTTTAAACTCCAAGAGGCTATCATACAACAAGACTGTGTTAGCTACTGCAAAGGACCCCAGGAAGCCTTCAGCCACTGCACCCATTTTAGTCATCATGGTCACTTTCCTGTGGCTGACAGCCCCTGCCTTACTGTGCAAGACATCTATTCCCTCCTGGCCTCATTTGTTAAAGGTGGTAACAAAAAAGCCATTGTCAGAAGTACACGAGTTATGACATGCAGAAAATCTGAGAAACTATTGGGCATATAATTTATACAGTCCATAAAGATCAGCCACGTGGTGATGCATGCCTGTCATCCTAGCACTCTGAAGGCTGAGGGAGGAGGATCACCATGAGTTCAAGGCCAGCCTGGGTTATACAGTGAGACCCTGTCTCAGGGAAAAAAATACATTAGCTACTATTTCCAAAGTTATATAATTGTTTTAAAAACCACTACTACTTGATAACAAAAGATACCACTACTAAATCAAAGAAATCTGAATTAAAACAACATCAATAATATTGAAGCATGTTAGAGATGGCTCAGTGGAATGAAGCGCTTCCCTGGCAAGCACAAGGGCCTGAGTTCAATCCCCAGTTCTGCAAAAGAAAAATATTTAAGCATGTTGTATTTGTAGCAATTTTTTTGAACTTCACTTTTGGGAGGACAAAGTGTTGAGTCAGAGTCTCCCCATGTAACCTAGGCTGGTCTCAAACTCTCAGCATTCCTCCTACATCAGCTTTTCAGTGCTGGGACTGCAGCCCTGTGCCTTGATACCAGGCTCCTTTAAAGTTCACTTTTTAAAAATTACTAATCACATTGTAAGAGGAATTACTACAGTGCAGCTAACATTTAACCAAGTTTATTCAGCAGCAGAAAAGGAATGAAATAAGGAACATAATTACTCAACTAAATTTAAAATGATTTTAAAAACTCAAAATTTTATAAAGGAAATACATATACAAATGCTACACTAACTTTTCAAGAAAAGCATAACTGGTGTACTGTTGTTCATCAGTCAAGTAAAACCTGTTGTCACTACACCACTATCATGGAATCCCGTGGTGGTGAGCCTACCGCACACATACTGAAGCAGTCTGTATGACTGAAGCTCTAAAAGGTTAGCCATCACTCATCTAGGACTTCCAATTATATTTAGTGGCCATAATTTTGCAAAATTATGAAGAAAATATAATCCTGGAGAGTCCCTTCAAGCTAAAGCATTTCATTCTGGACTCTTTTTGATGCCTTAAAATTAATACATCATGATTTACACAAACATGTTAATAATGCTCTGTCTAGACAGTGAGAAACTACTTGAGGTTTGAATTCTGAATAAACAGCTGCTTCCTGTTATTCACAGTAGCTGTGTTCTGTAGGATCATCCTATGCACTGAACTAATCAATACTGAACCACTGGCCCCATGGGGAATAAAGGGTTGGGTTCCTGTGATCTCTGATCACAACCATTCCATCAATGATAAATATGTAACCTTGTCATATGTGTGTTTCTGCTTAAAGACACTTTCTTTCACATACTGCACTAACTCAATAACACTGAACTGAGAGGCAACATCATAGTAACTGTGCTCAGATGAAGCTTCTCTATGCCTGTGGTTCTCAACTAAGGCATGTCATAGCCTTCCCATACTGAGTAAGGAACACTAGACAGCACTTTAGCACTACACCAGAGGGTTATCGGAAACACTGAAATACTAAAGAAACACATTAACAATGAAAAACCATGGAATTAAAACTGCAGAGAAGCTGTGTCTGACCTCAGCTGGGACTGCATGTGTGACAGCCGACTTAAAATCTGAGCTGTTCTGCAACATACCTGCAACTGACAGCACGGACACTTAAGCAATGCGCACTGAATGGGGGAAAGATAGCAGCAAGCCCTTGTGTTTGTTGGGAATCCACAAATATTGAGAACAGACTATGTCTGTCCTTACCAATTTAAGTCCTGTAAAAAGATACTTGACTTCTTGATTAATAAAACAGCTAAGTTGCAGCTGATTTTCCTTTCCTTTGGTGACTTCTTCCTCTTCAGATTCTGTACATTTCATGCTTTGCAAAATAAGATAAGGAATGCCAACAGGTATTTATATAATAGTTGATATAACACACTATCCTTATGCTATTAAAGTAATAGCATCATTCAGTGATATTTAAAATAGTTGCGAGGGCCAGCTAAAGAGCTCAGTGGATTGCAGGCGCAGGGGCCAAGGGTTCAACCCCCAGGCCTGCTGTGCCAGCCCTGCCCCCAGGGTGCACTGAGACAGCGAATGAAAAGGGGCATGGTGGTTCGTGCCTGTAATCCCAGCACTTGAGAGGCTGTAAACAGGCGGATCACTACGAGTCCAATCTAGTAGTGAGACCCTGAACACCCTGTAGGCTCTTCCCTAAAAATACAGAAAAAAATAAACAAATACAATGGTCAAAATAATCATATTTCAACATACTCATGAATGTTCATTTCCCCTCCAACAAGTCTGTAAATGAAGAATGAATGTGTTAAAATTCAACAAACTCTCAACTACGTAAGTCGGTATGTAAGTTAAGACCTGAGAAAATAAACAGAAATCTCTTCTAAGTTTCCACTTACAACCTAGAAAATAATAGTTCCTTGAATTCATGTTTGAACTGGAATAGTTCTATGCTTATAATTCAATTCATCCGCTTCATTTCATACAACTATAAATTGAGACCAATGAGGTAGATTCTACTATGGATGCTCTTCAGAAAACCCTCAATATTATTATGGCATATTCTCTATCTAAAACTTCAAGAATCCTTTAATGGGTATATTTTTAACAATTCCTAATTTCTACTATCACTTTTTAGGCATAAAAATCTCTTTAAGAATTTTTCTTCTTCAGGGGCCCTGCCCCTTAGCTCAGCTCTTTAAGTGGCTGCTTCCACAAAGCAGTCAGGCTCAGGTTGCTGTGGTTCGATCCCCACAACTCAAGCCAGCCAAACCTGCCCTGAAGGCATTTGGAGAAAAAAAAAAAAAAAAAAACCTTCTGCTTTAAAAAAAACCTTTTTCTTCTTCTATCCCACTACATGCCAATCAAGTAACTATACTATTTATGCTGATTCTTCTAAATTATGAATATAGTTTACACAAATTGTAATTCATAAGGATACGTAGTTTCAAACTCAACACCAAAGAACTGATCAATTAAACTTTTCTTTTTAGTAGGTGTCACAGCTGGTGCAGATGAAGAATCTGTCTGCAAAAATCAAAACCAAATTAAAATTCCAGTAAATAACACTTAGTCTATATAAATAATATATTTTGTCTCACACAATCAAGCTGAGTAATACAGGTTTGTTGTTGTTGTTGTTGGTTTTCTGTTTTGTTTTTTTGTGGTACTGGGGACCCTGTGCTACTGAGCTATCTCCCAGGCCTGAGTAATACAGATTTAAGACTTGAAAAATGTACTCCTTTCTAGTAAAATCCTTTTATATTTCAAAAACACTGGTACAAGATTACAAATGTAATCCTTAACAAAACTGTTAAAGTTTAATAAATGCAAACTATTAAATTCCAACTACATTGGGGCTGGGGAGACAGCTCAGCAATCTAAGCTGAGGATCTGAATTTGATCCCCGAAATCACATGCCATGCTGGCCTAAAAACCAGGTATAGTGGTGCATGCTTGTAATCCCAGCAATGAGGAGGCTGAGACAGGAGGATCACTACAAATCTGAACCCTGTATCAAATCAATCAATCCATCCATCCATCCATCCAACTATAGGTTGAACATATAAAGTATTCAAATACTTATCTAGTCCTTAAGATTCACTTCTAAACATGAGGACAGAAAACAAGAACCAACAACAAACAATAGCGTAGTGACAAGTCTATTTCAATTACCTCTTTAACAGAATCATCCTCTATGGCTTCCAATTTCTGCTGCAACACTCGCATCATTTGTATCCAACATTCATTAGCATCCTGTAAAATTTAAACAGTAACAGGCAGATCTGTAAAAATCATCCCAAAATAATTATCTTTTGCTTAAGGGGAAAAGACGTTCTCTCCTTTAAAAATGTTCATGCAAATTTGGTATTACAAGATCTTTTAAAAATAAGAACTGAAGAAATGCTATTAGTCATTCAATAGACTTTGTGCTATATTGCTGTAGGTATCCAGAGCAAAAGGAAAAATTCAAATGGGGAACAGAAATTTATATAAATATCAAGTCAGAGATAAGGGCTGGGAAGGGGAAAAAAAGAGTAGTTTGGCAGCTGAAAATGAGGAAGGAAAGCAAAGTGTATGCTTTCAATAAAGTCATCAGAGAGGGCCAAGGAGCTTAAGCCCGGGGTGCCCCACACACTTCTCCACCAGAGCTCTGCAGGAAGAACACGGAACAGTTTAAGGAAAAGCAAGGCAAGCACCAGGCCAGAAAGGAGAGCACAGGAGAGCAGTACATGACAAGAACCAAAGTCCGGAGGTGGCCAGGGGCAGAAAATCACTAAGTGGATGAAGTGGTACTAAACAAGGGCCCAGCATAATCTTATTTTTGCTTCTTTATCGAGTTTTTTTGGTTTTTTGTTTTGTTTTTTGTATGCTGGGGATTGAGCCCAGAGCTTATCAGCCATCAACCACTAAGTACATTTCTAAGTCTCTACCACTGAGCTATATCCCTAACCCCTATTTTTTTTGCCTTGGTACTGGCCAGGGCCTTCACACTGAACTACAACTCCAGCCCTTTTAAATTTTGAAACAAGGTTTCCAAGCTGCCTAGGCTGAGTTCATATTTGTCATTCTCCATATGGCTGGGACTGCAAGCCTGTACCCCCAAGTGCAGCTCCTATTTACATTTTTAAGGACACTCGGTGCTGTGTGGAGAAATGCTGCTAAGAAGCAGAAGTCAAAGATAATCAGTTAATAGACTACTGCCCACTCCAGGCTACAGAAAATGGTGGTGGAATAAGAGCAGGCTGACTTGTTACTTTCAAATATGTTCCAAATATAAGCCTACTTTTTCCATTTACAGAATGAAAAATCCTGCTCTGATTACCTGTTGAAGATACTGTCCTTGTTCTCCTTTCTCCGCAAACTGTGGGAAAGCCATATGTAAAAACTGCAGAAGAATAATAGGTGGAATACTAGACGAAGTTTTATCCATGGAATCAAACAAATCTCTAAGGGCTTAAAAACAAGGTAAACATCACCTTAGAAAAAGTCACACATTTAATACATGTACTATAAACACTTCTTAACTACCAAAAAGAAAATCCTGCTTAGCCATGTTTAAATGAATCTAGTTTCACAACTGTTAGACTCTATTAAGAAAAAAGCAAAATATCCATTTTTAAATCTTCAACCAGATGACCTTATAAAGCAATCACTAACTATAAACAACTTTGGGCCTGGCCCAATACCAGCCTTTGTCCTTCCAAACAAAAGTGATTAATGCAATAGAGAAAACACATAACTTCTACCCACAGATCAATCAGGCATGAAGTCACTGTCCTGCCACTCTGTCACTGCAGGCCATTGGTCCCCAATCACAACTTACCTTTAAGCCCATAGTTGGATCCTAGCTATGAACTGAATGCTAAAATCTGGCTCCTTAAACACATTCTCCAATCTACCCAACAGGTCAGGATCAAAGCTAAACTGCAGTTTTGAAAGTTTTTCCCCTGCTTATTGCCTCCCACCAGCATTAGTCATGGCCAGGGCCCTGGACCCAGCTGTGCTCTCAGAGGGGAACAGTAGCCTTCCGCTCTGCTGACCTTTACTACCACCCTATCACCTATTTCATGTATAGCAAAACTCTACTTCAGGCCAAGCCTGCAGGCACACACCCATAATCCCAGAACTCAGGAAGCAGAGGCAAGAGGATCACCATGAATTTGAGGCCAGCCTGGGCTACATAGTTCAAAACCTGGCTAAGGGCCAGTGAGATAGCTCAGCAGACTAAGCACCTGCTTAGACAAGCACAGGGACCAGGGTTCGATCCCCAGCACCACATGCCACACCAGCCCCACCTCCGGGTGTGGTGGTGCACAACTATAACCCCAGTGTTGAGGAGGCTGAAAACAGGAGGATCACTATGAGTCCAAGCTGCATAGTGAGACCCTGTACCAAATACATAAAATAAATAAATCTTTAGACCAGGAGTGGTGACACATGCCTCTAATCCTGGCACAGACCCTGTACCAAATACATTAAAAAAAAAAAAAAAAAACTCAAATAAGTACAAATAAATGGTCAAACTTTCACATTAAAAATTTCAGCAAATAAAAAGATACTTTGGGGGAAAGGGGTTAGAGTAAAATCTAACTAAATGGTGCTAAGAAGCCTACCACTGAGAGTAATGAACATTAGTGGCTGACCTTACTGAGCTACCACCCTGCACCTCTATGATGGCTGTAAACAAAAGACTTACAATATTTAGTATTGACAAAGGTGCAGAGAACCCAGAACCCTCCACATGTTACTGGATGAGACCTAACGTGTTTACCTCTTTTGGGCTATAGCCTGGCAGCTTCCTCAAAAATGTTAAATATAAAACTACCATATAACCTCGCAATTCCACTCCTAGACGTATACACCCAAGAGAAAGTAAAACATTTGTGCGCATAAAGTTTAGTACACCAGTGTCACCAGGATCTCAAAAGTGGGGGAAAAAAAGTCCACCACTGATGAACAGATAAATGTAATGTGGTGTGCCCACACCATAGAAGCTACTGGCAATAACCCAGAATGAGGTACTGACACCAACAACAGTGGACACGAACCCACAGAACTTTACAGGAGAAGTAAAGCAGTCACAAAAAGATTCCACCACACTGTATAAGTCATTAAAGGTCCAGAATAAGCAAGTCTGTAAGACAGAAAAAGATGTGTTTGGGGAATTGAATGGAGGAAAAAAAATATTATGACTCAATGTTATGGAGCCATATTATGGAACTGGGGCTTCCCCTTCTTTTTGTGTTGCCAGGGGTTGGGCCCAGGACCTTCTGCATACTACAGGAGCACTGTGTGAATGCACTAGAAGGAATAAATTGTATACCTGAAACAGACAAATCAAATGGCATGTGAATTAATTTCAATAAAGTTGTTGAGAAAAAACTTACCAATCTACCCCACTGAATCAAAAGAGTACTCATCTGCATAGCTATCCAAAATTCTTTCATGTTTCTATGGCGGCAATGTGGCCTTGAAGTACAGCACTGGCCTAGCAAGCATGAAGCCCTCGATTTGATCTCCAGCAACACAGAAAAGAATTTCTCGTTCTCCTCAGACTTATTTAAAAACCACTAAGACTTAAAACTATCACATCAACGATGACAAAACTTATTTCTAACTATAAGTTACTCCCAAAGATACAGCTACTGGAATGTGAAACCAGCTGCAATTCGAAAAAATTCAAAAGATTTTTCAAAAAAATACTCAATGGTTTAAAATTCACAAAATGAAATAATTTCAAAGTTATATAATGCAAACATGAATGAGATATACAAAAATTATCAATTGATAAAGTACTGAACAATTAGAAAGGAAAAATAACATCTACTGAATATGACACTCCTTCCCCAAAAGCAGCATTGTGACACACTAACCTGCAGTAATATACTGCGCGGAAGCCATTTCCCCCGAAGCTCTCAAGGCACCTGCATATCTGCAACACGAAAGCAGAATTAATAGCACTAAATTCATTCGGAAATGCAAAAATAAGTACAAAGAGCTTACAATGCCCTCAACTGCAAGTGTCTCAGAGTAGTGTTTCTCCTCTGGTTTTTTTCACTAAAGCATTTTACATTCAGATGTTTCTCTAAAGTGTTATATGAAAAACCATACACACATATACACACACATACACATTTCTTTTTGAGAGACAGGTTCGCTATGCAGTTCAGGCTGGCCTTGAACTCATTATGTAACCCAGGAGGGCTTACAGTGATCCTCCTGCCTCAGCTTCTCAAGTACTGGGATTATAGGTGTGCACAACCATGCCTAGCTTAAACCTGTATTTAGCATTAACTTCCTGTTATAACAGTCGGTTTGCTCATCTATGACGTGTGGGGTTTTATTAAAGGCTTCATGATGTTCAGCTGGTTTACAAGAGTACAGAGGACTGATTATCCAAGGAAATAATCCAGTCAATGCTGGAGCAGAACCTTAGGATGAAAAGATAAAAAATGACCACTCACAACACAGGGGTGGGGAGGGACACTCAGTGGCTACAGCTGTGCTTGTGTGCAAACACCAGCAGCACCTGGGTGTCACTACCCTGGATAATCTCACACACTACTGCTGAGTAAAAGAAACTAAAACCCCCACCCCCATATATCGAGCATGACTCTGTTAAGGTCTAGAATGTACAAACAAATATAAAGTCACAAAGTGCTGCCGCTAAGTGGAAGGAATGAAGATTAAATTTAAAAAGCGTAAGGAAACTTCCTGGAATGATAGAAGCATTCTACAAGAGTTGTGATCAAAATACACAATAAAATGTTTAAATTTTTTTAATTTACTATAGGTAACCATGATAGTGCTGCCTGTTATCCCAGCACTCGGGAGACTGAGGCAGGAAGACTGCAACAAGTTTGAGACCATCCTGGGCTATACAGTGAGTTCAAAGTCAGCCTGAACTACATATTGACATCCTGTCTCAAAAAACATTTTTCGGGGCTGGAGAGATGGCTCAGTGGTCTAAAGCACCTACTTAGAACAAGCTTAGCAAAGCATCAAGGACCGCGGTTCAATCCCCCAGCACCACA